ATTTCAATCCCTTTTTTGTAATCTTCATTTTATTTTGGTCATTAGAATTTTATTATATTTGATTTTTATCCTTATAATAAATATTTTTTTCTTAGCATTTAGTATTTTTTTAAGTTGTTCTTTTTTTTTCTCTGCTATGGCTAAGCCTTTCTTTTGGCTTTTATTTTTATTTTATTCCCTGTTTTGTAATTTTTTTTTATTTTGGTCATTAAAATTTTATTATATTTGATTTTTTTCAATAATAAATATTTTTTCCTTGGCTTACAAATCACTATTCACTCCTTGGGTTACAACTAACTATTCATTCTTGTAGCAAAGTTATTTCACTATACATGCTTTTTTCCTTTACTTTTTTCCATCAAACTAGGTTCTTTTTTTATTTAATTTTTTTAATTTTCGGGTTATTTTATTTTAGTCTCTAAAATTTTAAAATAAAAATTTTAGTCCCTAGCCGATGCACTACACATTTTTTTTCCTTTACTTTTTTCCATCAATTTATGTTCTTTTTTTTTTTTTCATTTGTTGATTTTTGTAAAAGTATATCAATTAATTATAACTTTATTTTTTAGAATACAATATTATGAAAATTATATTTTTAAAGTTTTTTTAATTCTTGATTAATATTTTAGTTAAAATTACTAAATTTTTTTATTTTAAAATGAATCCATAAAGAAGAATGGTTTATATTTTTCAAAATTGAAATTTATAACGAAACATTAAAAAAATTGATTTCAAGTTGTTTCACTATACGTGCTTTTTCTTTTCTTTTTTTCTCTTTGCTTTTTTTTTCATCAATCTAGGTTCTTTTTTTATTTAATTTTTTTAATTTTTAGATTGTTTCATTTTGGTTTCTAAAATGTTAAAATAAAAATTTTAATTCCCTAGTCGAGACACTATACATGCCTTTTTTTTTCTTTGCTTTTTTCCATCAATTTTTTTTTTTGTTTGTTAATTTTTGTAAAAGTCTATCCATTAATTATAAATTTATTTTTTTAGAATACAATATTATAAAAATTTATATTTTTAAAGTTTTTTAAATTCTTGATTAATATTTTAGCTAAATTTATTATATTTTTTTATTTTAAAATCAATCTATAAAGAAGAATGATTTATGTTTGTTAAACAAATAATTTATAAAAAAACATTAAATTAATTAATTAAATAAAATTTTAAAATGATTTTTTTATATTGGATCCACAGCGTAGTGCGGGTAAATTACTAATTAACTTTAAACTAAAACGCGTTGGAAGTTCACTATTCAAATGAACGAGTGAATGAACAAGTGAACTCCCAGTTACTTTTCATTTGAAAGGTTTTTTTTTTCACTCTTAGTTTTTTTTTCCTTAGTTGTTAGTTAATTCACTCTACTACCCAATCTTAGGGTTTTTTTTTTTTTTTAATTTTCACTCTTAGTTTTTTTTTCTTTCTTTTCTTTTTCTTAGTTCTTAGTTAATTTTTACATTATTATTTTTTTTCACTCTTAGTTTTTTCTTTCATTTTTTTTTTAATTTTCAAATTATTTTATTTTGATCCCAAAAAATTCAAAAATAAAAATTTTAATCCCTAGCCGATACACTATATGTCTTTCTTTTTTCTTTGATTTTTCTTGGTTTTTTCATCAATTTATATATTTTTTATTTAATTGAGTGTTAAAATTTTTTAAAAATTGATCGTTATTTTTTTCACACAAGTTGATGATTACATAATATATATATATCAAATGTATCTAATTTAAAAATCGCCCCCTCACAATGTACTCGTTCACTCATCTTTTTTTTTTTTAACCCTCACAACGTACCATTCACTCTTACCTTTCTTTTTTTTTTTCTCGTAACTTTCACTCTTGGGTTTTTGTTTTATTTGCTTTTTTCTTAGCTTTTTTTATTTTCAAATTATTTTATTTTGATTTTTTTTATTTGTAATTTTCACTCTTAGTTGTTTTCTTACGTTTTTTTCAATGATTTTCAAATTATTTTGTTTTGATTCCTAAAATTTTAAAATAAAAATTTTAATCTATATCCGATGCACTACATGTCGTTTTTTCTTTACCTTTTTTCATCAATTTATGTTTTTTTTATTTAATAGGATGTTAAAATTTTTAAAAATCAATTGTTGTTTTTTTTCACATAGACTAACGATTATATAATATAAATAGATCATATGTATATACTTAAAAAAAAAAAAGTCTTCTCGTCAACATTAAATAAGAATGAAATTTTATTTTTTCACCGATTAATTTTTATTCAAATCCATACATTGATTATAACTTTGTTTTTTTTCGATATATTCTTCTAAAATAATATATTTTTAAATTTTTTGTTTTTATAGCAATATTGTTCTCCCCCTCACAATGTACTATTTACTCCTCTCTTTTTTTTTTTTTCCTTACCCTCACAATATATTATTCACTCCCTTTTTTTTTAATACCCTCACAATGCACTATTCACTCTTAGGTTTTTTATTTTTTATTTTTTAAATTTTCACTCTTAGTTTTTTTCTTAGCCTTTTTTTTTTGTAATTTTAAAATTATTTCGTTTTGATTCTTGAAATTTTAAAATAAAAAATTTAATCTCTAGCCGATGCGCTACATGCTCTTTTTTTTTTTTTTTGGTTTTTTTTTTGATTTTTTTCATCAATTTATGTTCTTTTTTATTTAATTGGGTGTTAAAATTTTAAAAAATCAATCGTTACTTTTTTTTTTAACACAAAATGAAAATTAGATAATATGTATAGATCAAATATATGTACTTTAAAATAATAATCTTCTCATCAACATTAAATAAGAATAAATTTTTATTTTTTTATTGGTAATTTTTATGTAAGTCTATACATTAATTGTAACTTTATTTTTTTGGATATATTCTTATAAAACAATATATTTTTAAAGTATTTATTTTTAAATTCTTAATTAATATTTTAGGTTTAAATTATATATTACAAGTTTTATTTAGGAATCCCTAAATAAAGAAAAATAAATCATGTTTTATTAAACAGAAAATGTATGAAAAACAAAAAAAATAGTAATAATTAAATAAAATATTATAAAATTTTGAACTGATTTTGTTCTATTTGTCCGTTATATTGGGTGGATAATTTCAAAAATTAATCTTCTCATCAGTATTAAATAAGATTTTTTTTTCATTTGTTAGTTTTTATAAAAGTCTATTTATTAATTATAACTTTATTTTTTTAATACAATATTATAAAAAATATATTTTTAAATTTTTTTAATTCTTGATTAACATTTTAGTTAAAACAAATCCATAAAAAATAATGATTTATGTTTTTTTTTAAAAAATTAATTAAATATAAAATTATAATTAAAAATTTTTAAAATTTTAAAATGATTTTGTTAAACCAGATCCGTAATATAACGCGGGCAGTTAAGAAACTAAAACAGGTGGTTAATATCCTGTTTCTAAACCGTTCATTTAGACACAAACAACTATGGATTGTGACTCAATCTCACTGTTTGCGTTGTTTGGGTGCTTCTTGACCGTCCCATATTTTATGCATGTGGTGTGATTGCTTTGGTGCCGTTCGATTTGCCACCTCCCTTATCTGTTGCAGCAGCCAGATCAACTCATCTGCTTGCTTCGTTTCCTTCTTTTCTTTTTTAACTGCTGTTGGGTGGTGATATTACTCTTCTGCCCTCTTCTCCCCCTAATGTCTTTCACAATGCCATTATTTTTTCTTTTATTTACGTTCCTGTCATTCAGTGCTTTTTTGCAGTTACCTTCATGCCCTTTTTTTACTTGGCTTTTGAGCTTTCTTTTGTCAATGGCGTAATTTTCTGAACAGGCTATTAAATGCACTGCAGATTTGCTGCATCCTTTTATTTAAATAATATACTATGCCCTTTTTTTCTTCGTCTTATCCAATTTATGTGTTTTCACTAAAAAAAAAAAAAAAAAGGGCCAAAACACAAACGTCATGAGCTTCCTCAACAACTTTGACAATCTTCTCCTCCAATCCCTAATAAAAAAATTAATAGAAAAAATTTTAAAATAATTTTATTTTATCTATTTACACCGTTTCGTAAATAATTTTAAAAATTAATTTTTTTATTTACATTAAATAAGAAATTTTTTCATTTTTTCATTTTTTTATTTTTATAAAAATCTGACTACTAATTATAATTTTATTTTTTGAAAGATAATATTATATAAAAAATGTATTTAAAGTTTTTTTAATTTTTTATTAATATTTTAGTTAAAATTATTGTAATTTTTTTAAATCAATTAATAAATAAAAATGATTTATGTTTTTTTAAAATAAAAAAATTATGAAAAATATTAAAAAATTAATTAAATAAAAATTTATAATTATAAAATTATAAAATTATTATGTTTTATCAGAACCGTAACGTAACGCAAGCAATTGACCAGTGGAGTATCTAAATTTCATTTTTTTTTGGCCTTTTTCATATAACTTAGAAAATAAATTTGGCACGTGCCATTCGTTTGACTTGCTTTCCTTCTCTTATGGTCACACACATGTTCTTTAGCTTTCCTTCTCAACAATGTGACGGGAAGGCACTCAGTAGCCACCACACGTTTTTTTCTTTTCCTTTTCAGAGTAACCGGTTTGGCAAATCCCCTAACCACTTTTAATACTTTTTAATTGCAAGGCAAACTAAAAGTTATTACAGCACAAAACGCCTTAGAATCAACCCAATCGGAATATAAACAGTAACTAGCAAATTCAATATTATTTGAAATTTGATAAAGAAAAACAGCGAAAACGATCCGTATTCCAAAATAAATAGGCCCAAATTTTTTTATTAATGGCTGCCCTGCATCAATTTACAGTGTAAATATTCAACAAATAATAAGAAACTTAATGGATGGTTGTATATACTTGCACGCACATTTCTGCCTTGTATTGAATAATTTAAGAAACGAATTCGTGAATGCATTTATCTCTCGCTTTTCCAATCTCGATCAAACGAAGCAAATGCCCAGCTTGCAATGTCTTCGTCAATTTCCCAAATGAATAAATTATAAACTCGATCTTCTATCAAACGAAAATTCCTTTCTCACAATTTCAATCTCGTGGTGTGTGGTGGCTGGTTGTGGAAGTGGTGCTGCCACTTGATTATGATTTATACCTGTTTCCATGTCATCCTTATCATTTTCTTCGTGACCAGCTGCTAAAGCTAATTCAAGTTGTTGCTGGTGGCGGTGTGACGACGAGCCCTCGCCGGCGTGATTGTGGTGAGAGGGTGATGGAGATTCTGTCTCCCAATGCTCAACATCAACATTGGATCTTCTCGGAGAAGTCTGGAGACTGTCCATTTCACTGCGATAGTAACGCAAAAGGTGGACGGGGGACGTATGGTGAGACGGTGTGGTTGGTCTGCTCGACATAGGGGTCGCAGTCACAGAACCCTTGCTTTGTTTGATATGTTTCCTGGCAGTGTGGTGCCAATTTCGGAGTGCGGTTGCTACTCTTTCATTGAATATGGTTGGTTTCATCGATGAGCCCATCTGTTAAATAGAAATCAGAAGTATTAATTATTTTATAAGAGCATAAAGTCTAATGTTTAAACATAATGTTACGTACGCACCTGTGTCACAAGGGCATACAGAGGGAGAGTGACGTAGCTGCAGAGTATTTGTATGAGGACCCTGAGGATAGATAGCCGTCAGTGATTTGTCTGTTAATTAAAATCTTAAATTGTAATATTAATTAATTACCAGGGAAACTAATTAAAAAGTCTCACTTACCCCATTGATATTCTAATGACTATGTCTTCCACATGCTCATGGAAACAAGATTTAATTCCGAATTCATACTGCAAAAAAGAAAAAGAAAAAAAAACGCACTTAGTGATATATATGTACACGTCATTCAAGATTAGAAGATTTTTACTTTACAATCACGATAAGATACATCTTTCGCAATTAATATGACATGATATGATATGATTTCTATTGATTTTATATACACTTACATATATTATCACATCATTTAATAAAAAAATAAAATTAATATCTCTATCCCACGTTATCATAAATCAAACTTACCCAAGACCACGCAAAGAACGCAAGCTGGAAGGCATTCTGCATTGGCGGAAATAAAATAACACGAAGGATGTCAGTACCAAATTGAGATACGTCACGGACTAGAACGACAAAAAACAATACGGATAGAAAAAACACGACGACTTTTTTCTGATGACGATGTACAGATTTCACATTATTTTGGTCTATGTATTTTATATTTATTGATCTCATCTATAAATAACAAGGTAGATTAAATTTACTTAATAGTTAGAAAGTTTGTTTGTACGGAAGTCATCATATTATAAAACAAATGTTATATACTTGATATTAAAAAAAAAAAAAAAAACTGAACAAAGAAAGGTATACGTACCTGAAAGAGAACAAAATTGATGAGACCGAGAATGAGGTGTGGGCGGTTGAACCAGAAGAGGTCGTCACCTGGCTGAACCACTGGCACTCCTTTTACAACCTCTCCTCTCTCTTGAATTCTAAGCCCCATTTTGGTAATGATCACCTGTAGCTTGGTCCCCACCAATAGTATGATCTAGTACGTTCATTATTAGCCGTTAGATAAAAATAAATAAATAAATTTAAGAAGTGAAATGAAACACCTGTAAATTAAGGATATATATATATTACTTACAATCAGTGGGACAAACGGAAGCCACAGATAAGAATACCAGCCTGCGCAAAGAGAAAGACCTTACTTGGTCAAACCATTTACTCCCGCCAGAGTACATTGATGATAATATATTTTTGCACATGGTTTTAAATCCTCCTTAATTAAATTCTCAATAAAATTAATAACAGTAATAAACATCATTTAAAGAATAATTAAAAAGAGTAGAAATTAGAAATAATTGTTATCGTATTTGATTAACCAACCATGAGTATTGAAGAGTAGGAATACGACGGCGAAGAACCATATTGTTGGACTGAAAATTGACAACAAAAAATAAATTATTAAACCAATGAATCATGTATTTGAGAAAAATCTTTAAAAAGTATACTTTAAATTGAAGATTACGTCACTAACCTTATTCCCACAACTACCTTGAAATCCTCTTCCAGTGATCTATTAATGTACTTTTGGAAATTGAATGTCGAATGGTTTTGGGGACCCAAATGTGCCTTCATTTATAAATACAATATTAATTAACAACAAATATCATTATTATTTCCCGCTAAACAGTTTATTTAAATAATTAGTCTGTATTATTTTAATATGTAAACGTATTAATTAATTCGAAAGAATCTAAAGCATTACCATGATAAACCCATGTCTCAAGGTTAAGTAGTCAACCTTAGGAACCGACCTCACGAACTGCCTGAAGAAACAAGCCTGCGAGAGAAATTAATTGGAAGTTAATTAACAAAGCTCCTATGTAAAGACCATTTTAATCAATTTATAAATTAGTGTCTCTTCAATTCCATGTTCTTTTACGATTTTTTTTCTTTTGCAAAAAGTAGCGTTGAGAAAAACACAAAAAATTGATTAGAAAATAAGATATTTTCAGAGTAAAAACTGATGTTCACTAGTCAAATAACTGTGTATAAATATTTCATACGATTAGCACTAATCAATTATTTTTAATAAACCATAAGGACTAAATTATAATTAACTATAAAGAGAAAGGAAAAATATATTTTTAGATAACCAAAACAAAGGTGGACCCGTCTAGAAAGGCAAACTGGTCATTGTGTCTAGTAAAAGTCAACCAACTGAAATGAAATAAAAAATGACCGGCAACCAGGACACAGGAGAGGCTGCCCCACCAAATATTTAAAACTTGGACCCTGATTGTCGTTTTCCAACAAAGCATGCCAAGACCGTTACTTTGTTTTCCAAAATCTACGATGACTAAGGCCTTTATTTTATTTTTTTAAAAAAAAATCTTTATTTTTGCTTGGCGTTCTCACTATCACCGTTATCTTGTTATTTATTTTCAAATCCAATTTTCGTTTCCACCTTTTATCTTGACTTTAATATTATTTCTCTGTAACGAAATATTTTTTAAAAAATTAACTTTGTCAAATAGAAAATAAGGACATTATTTAGATTCTCTTTTAAATAATGAATGATAATAAATTAACTGATACGTGAATCAATAATAGAGAATTCAGAATGAAACTTTTAGTAATTTTTCAAACACATGTAACAATAATTAACAAACATGATTTTCATATTTTTTTTATTTCTGTAAAAATTAATATAATGATATGGATAAAAATGCTCAAATTTGCTTGCAAGCCTCTTATAGGTAATTATTGATTTAGAATATCACACTATTCATATTAAAGATCGTTTGGGATTTTCCTATACCTTATGGGTTTTATAGAATGCCCCACGGTTGCTCTCCAACGATCCTATATAATTGAAGAAATTCTACGTCATTTGGCTTGCTTCAATTTAATTTTCCGAATTGTCAAGCCAAATCAATTAAATACATATACGTACATAAGGAAAAAAATATTTTTTAGGTGGTTAAAAAACATTTTAATTAAATAGCCACTCATTTTTCCCATAAAAAACATTTTCATACATAAACAATTAACGATGTTCTCCTAAATTTAAATAAGAAGGTTTTAACCGGTGGATTTAATAATTCAATTACCATAACAATTTATCATTGTATAACTAGTGTAAAAAGAAATTCCCTACATCCTGAAAACCTATCATAATTAAGTGCATTGGATCAGGGGAAAAAGAAATCTAGAGGAAAAAACTTCACTTACTATCCACATTAGAATTGGTGTCTTCGTCCAGAAGCTTAAGTGCCTTCTTCCAAACGATGTTTCTCTTGCAAACCTGAACCTTTCTGGATCTGTTGTGCAATAACATAAATAATAATCATCATATACCGATGTTTGTGAATTTATACCTTATTGATTAGCTGTTCTTGGTTCCTAACAATTGTGATTTTAGCTCATTGATAGCTCATTGATAGTAGCCTCTTGATATCTATTAAGAAATCAAAAGTTATATTTTTAGCAAATTTTAGGAAAGTTAGCCCCTCAACCTTTTTGGAGCATCATAATCGGTATTAAACCCAGTTTTCCATCCCTTCTAACATTAACAACTAACCACTAGACTTATCAAAATAATAATATATATAAAAAAAAAAACCTCTAGTTCATAAAGATGATTAATGTTCTTCCAGATTGCTTAAATCAAATTTCTTAATAATTAAGATGTAGACTGGAATATAAAGAAGGAAGAGTTCATATAACTCTATTACGTGTCTCAAAGTTGAATAAATAAATAAATACAGTAAGTGCTTAGACTATATATATATATATATATTCATTCATGTGAGGTTTAACATTGATGACGTGCTAAAAGAGATATTGATAAAGAAAAAAAAAAAAAAAAAAAACAGACTGAATCCTTTCATTTATGTAACAAACAAAATAATGATAAATAATTCTAATAATTAATCCGAGATTTAGACTAACCGTGTGAAAACTGATATTCAGCGGTTCTTGTTTCCTTTTCCCATCGTTTCCAACGTTTCATCTATTTGAGCACAAATTAATTAAAACGACAGGAATATATATATATATATATATATATGAACGTTATTAGAGAGAGACAATGTGTGTATATACGTGCATATATATATATATATAAAGGAAAAACTGTAGAGCGTGAGAGATGTATATGGCGATTCACCTTTGCTCTGCCCAAAGCCATAGTCAGAAAACAGTACAGGACGTGAAATACTGCTAAAACGAAGATGAAAATATGGAGTTGATGAATACCATCTGAAGACACAAATGGAACTTTACCCTGCATGCACCCGCGCCAAATTATCACCACAACTTTATTATATATATATATATATTAAAAGTATAGTTCAATACACTAATAAACAAATAAATTATATACACGATCGAAGAAAAAAATTAAAAAAAATATCAAGCAAGGCACCGAATAGTTCACCAATTACTTATTTTATCAGTATTTTGAATTTGCTGATGGCAAATCACTACCATTTTTTTTTTCTGAAAACGTGTCCCTAAAATTAGCTTTATTACATGGCACAATTAGGGGCCGCCTCTCATTGTATTTCTTTCACAAATTAATTGCCTTGGGAGCAAAGAAAAGTAAAAGGGGAAGAAAAAGTGCAGTACGTTCGTGCAAGTTTCAATAATTAACCATCTTGTTTCCAATTACTAGCTAGCAGATCTAGTAAATTAATCATATTCATTATTATATTAATTTTAATTATTTATTCGGTTAGTGCTAAGCTAGGCAATATTATTTTATTAGAGTTGAACATTCACGAGGTGGGAAAACAAGTTAGTAAAAGAGAAGAATCTGAAGGATTCATACCTTAGCAGCGCATTTATCGGTTGATCCGGCCGCCAAGACACGCCGGAAACTTTCACCTGCAGAATCCGGAATGGAAAGAAGCTTCCTACGGTTTTCATAATCTGTTTCTGTGTCTTCGCTGTTGTTCATTTCTGCTTCTTCCTTCTTATTGCATGGATGCCAAGTGGCTCCAATTTTCTTTGATATACATATATTTGATATTGGACTTTGTCCTACTGTCAGGAGCAACGATATAAATCCTAGTAGCATAAGCTCTGCATAAAGAAATCCATTTTAATTTGTAGTTAAGATCGATTATCATGCATGGTAAAGTACTTCATTAATTGATACTAAAACAACTACAAATTTAATAAATAAAGGTGCATGAGTTAATTAATTAATTTACCTGATTTTATCTTTTCAAGTGATTCATAAAGAGCTCTCTTGCGTTTCTTATTCAACCACTGCAAATTGATGCCCAAAACACCATTGAAGTTGTTTCGATCCATAAATAAGTAATTAATGGCACAGTAGTTCCGAACATGCATACCTTTCCAATAAGATGAATGATGTACTCGATGATTATTGAAATGGAAACCAGAACAAAGCAAACTACGGCAACAGCCCATGTTGGTGTTTGTTCCAAAGATCTTCCTCCACTGCCTCCCGCCATGTTAATTAATTAGGAACTTCTCTGTTTGTCCAACTATGTATCAAAAATTCCCAGAATATTATAGCAGAAACGAAGCAACTTGAAACTTAAATTTACTAGTTCACAAATGATATCAAGAAACCAAGAGATTTTGAAAAGAGGGAGAATAGCGTTTGTATGTATATATATTGAAAATTCTACAATCAAGAAAATTCTACAATCAAGAGCAGTACATGAACAGAAGGAAAGAAGAACAGACGGCGCAAGTGGATGATTTGACTTTCTTACCGTGTGAGAGAGAGAGAAAATAGAAGGGGCAATTGGATGACTTGACTTTGTCGACGTGTGAGATATATATTTATATATAGAAACAGAGAGATATTATCAAATAATTCAAAGATTACATTATAAATTAATTAGGACGAATAAATCATTCCTCTTATTTTAAAAAATAATTATTTAATTCTTATATTTTTAAATTTTTATAACTTAATCATTTATATTTTTTTTTCAATTTATATTGATTTTTTGCTTTAAAAAATTTTAAAAGAAAAAATATGGAAAAAATATAAAATTTTTTGATGAGAATAAAATAAATTTTTTAAAATAAAATAATATTAAATTAAATAAATTTAATAAGGATTAATAGATTAAATAATTAGTTTTTGAAAATAAAAAAACTAATAATTTGTTTCTTAAAAATAGAGGTACTAATTTATAATTTACTCGCAACTCAAATATATAAAGGTTTCTTTCACCAGGACCTACAGTTGCAGTCTCATTCGTCAGCGCCAATTACTTCTTTCACCAAAAACCTAGGCTTGCTAAAGGTTTTTTATTTTGTTTTGTTTCTTTAATGGAAGGTTTAATGGGCTTTAGTTACTAAATTCCTATTGACCCTTTCTAGTGTTTGAACTTGATATATATATATATATATATATATATATATATATAAGTGAAACTTACTTGTTTTAAGGAAAATATCTAATAGAAAAATGTTTTTTTTTTGTTATTTTACAAGTGCAAAACAAGTACTAGAATACTATTCAACATAAAAAAATATTTTGAATCAATTCCAAATAATATATTGAGAGAAAAATATTTTAATTTTATAGGAAAATAAAAAATATTTTACATAAAACTATACTAACATAACATAACATAAGGTCTATCATGTCTGTTTTCTATCCATGTATTCGAATAGTCTTTTTCGAAGCAGGACCTTTCAAACAAATCTGTTTCTCAGACAAGACCCTAACTCTTAGTATTCTAGTGTTTCGTCACGAAGGAGACCTAATTATGCATTCCTCCCACGTCAATCAATGGAAAATCCCCCTCTTAGATAAAATCTTGGAGCACAAAAAAGTAAAAGAAGATGCTTATGCGTCTGAAGTTAGGAATTATGTCAATCTTTATTGCAACTAGAGCCATCTGGAAGGAATTTAAGAATAGTAACTTATTTTCCCTGTGTTCTTTATTGATCACCATTTTCTTTCTACCTTAGAGACTCATTGGCGTCAAGCAATGGCTATTAAGTTATTGAGGAGAGCCATCACTTTCAAGGTGTCACATGTGAAAACTGAACAGATGTAGAAACCGGTTAAAGTTTTTGATGTGTTTGACCTGGAGCATGGTTATTTTTTGGTTTATTAAATTTAATAAGAATGATGACTTTTATAGAGTTTTAGGGGGAGGGGGAGGAGCCTTGATTGATTTTTATCATTATCTTACGGTCAAGCTATAGGATCGTAATTTTTGTCCAGTTGATTTCATTATTGACTCCATCTATGCGTGGGCTAGAATCCTGAATATATTAGTCCAGTATTATGATCGAGTATTTACTACACTGGTTAATAGAGGTTGTTTTACGTACAAAGGTGTATATTGAGGTTGACCTTGACAAACCTCTTCTTGGCCAGTTGGAACTTAATGGCAAGATTTACAGCGTTGAATACGAAGGATTGCACACCATTCATCTCGAGTATGGTCACGGAAAAAGAGATTGCAATTTGCATGCCTAAGGGCAAAGGGTGGTGGTCTTCCGGCCGGAATTAGAAGTGGCTCTGATCCAAGGTCCAAATTCGAGTGAGGAAAGAAAAACAGATATGGAAACCAACATTTATAGAAATGTTGATTTAGGTTTTTGTAAATTGATGGTAGTGGGAAAAAAAAAGGCAAGAAGGGGACTTAAATCTCGGGCAGTTAACGTCGGGGTAGAAAAAAATGCCATGCAAATTCTAACAGATTTGCCTCACGTAATGCAACAGATATTGAGAAGGAAAAAGTGAGAGTTGCTCTTCTGACTAGACCATCCCCCCCGACTCTTGGTGCTTTTGTGCCCGTGGAACTAGTGTTGGATCTAGAGACAAATCTAAGGCTAAGGCTAAAGAAGTAACTGGGTTGGATAGTACAAAGGGCCAAGACTTAGTCAAGCCAACTAGGTATTCTTTAAATGCTTCGACAAGCAGCTCTAGCGTCCAACAAAAGGGTAATCTCAAACTTATCCTATCCTCGTTCTTCCATTCCAATCATAGGGGAATTTTCCCCTTTTTTTTAGAATTCTTGCTAAAAATTTATAACAGATTTTAATAGAGAATTAGATAAAATATATAAATATGACATGTTAGTTAGAGGATATAGAAGAGGCAACAACAATAGTAATTGACTAGTTGGATACTTGCGCTACGCTACGAGCGAACAACTATTACATACATAGGATTAACGATTCGTACGGTGTAATGCGAGTAGAAAATTTTATTTTTTGTGATTAACATAAATTGAATCTATATATAGTTAATTTCTAACAAAACTAATGTTTTATATATATATATATATATAGAATAAATAAAATATATATATAAAAAACCACCTAAATTGTAGAAATATATTGAAGTCAACAAATTAAAATAAAAACTATAAGAATTTATATAAGCAACAACGCCATTTTCATATAAAAATCATAAGAATAATCGATCGTATAAATTATAATAATATATCTTACAAAATAAATTTAAGTAAATAATCAATCGTATAAAAATAAATTATTTGATTGTGTCTGTTTGTATTCATTTATTGGTTGGATTAAATTTTTTGTGTGGTAATTTATGGATTGATTTGAGGGTGTTTGAGGAGTGTTTCTTGTTGAAATAGTACCAATGAAATTCATCTTGAAGGTTATTTGTGTTTGTCTTCTACATGTCGTGGTTGTTCGTATGAATCCAACATCAATAAAGATAATTGTAATAAGTACAAAAAAAATTAAAATCATATAATATCACGAGTGTTTAATTGTATCAATATTACTTTAACTTTTCTTTTTAATAGCTAAATAAAATTGTGTTTAAATTTTTTTAAGGAAACGTTATTTTTTAAGAGAAACAATCATCATTTTATTTCTTTTCTCTTATCGGTTGATTAAGAATTTTCATGCTTATATAAGAATAGAATAAATTAAGAACAAATTAACTATTAAACTACAATTAATATTTTTAATAGATTCACAACAACCTCGTAACAACTATGTAATAGCTAGCAACGATCGTAATGATTATTAATAGTAATTAAAATTATTTAATATCATAATGATTAATTATATTATTATCACTATAATGTAATAAATATTAAAAATCTTACATGAAGAAAAAAAATCAGCCAGTATAATATATGTTAAGTGTCGGAGATATCACATCTCACTAAAATTATAGGCAACATAATATACATCAATTTGGCTATTACTATATAGATACCGTGTGGATTTTTTAGAGGATATTTTTGTAATAGGTAATAAGTGAGCTTACGCATTGTATATAATTTTTTTTATCAGTTCAAATTAAAATTATTATGAAAAAGGTAAATAAATCACAAGATAAATTGATAAATTATAAATAAACCACTAAATTATCTTTTAGTGGTATTAAATTTGAATTAGTTTAGTCTAAAAAATAGACTATTAATCGATCAAAAACTAAACTTATTTTAACATTGATTTAGTTCAGAAAATGATAAATTTAGTTTTTATTGATGCAAAAACTAACTAAAAAATATAATATTTTTTATAAAATAAATAGAAATAATAGGAGAATTGAAGAAAAGGATGACAAGAAAATCAAATCACTATAATGTGAATACAAGTGATAAGAATTTTAAAGTTTTCTTTAATCTCTCTAGAAAATTTGTACATCAACTAATGAACAATCAAACCTATTTATAGGCTTCAAAATTGAGAAAAGAATTGAAATGGACTATCAATAATTAAAAGTACATCAATTGCATCACATTTTCAATTTCTCATATTGAATGATGAATTAAATCACATTAAGAATCATGAGTGGTGGGGATATGAAAAGTAGATGACCATTCATATGGACATTCTTTATTTCATAACACTCCCCTCGAATGTCCATTGTACAAGGAACATGCCTCGTTAAAACCTTACTAGGAAAAAACCCAATGAGAAAAAATCCTAGTAAAGGAAAAAAGTACGATATTCCTTATACATATTCATCCCCATATTGGTCTCCCCTTGTTGAAAATATTATTTAAGAACTCTAAGACGATGCTTTCCAATCTTATGAATTATCTTCTCAAAAGTTATGATAGGTAATGCCTTAATGAACAAATCTACTTGGATTGTCACTTGATCGAATTTGTTGAACATTAATATCACCATTTCGTTAAAGATCATGTGTGAAAAATAATTTTGATGATGTATGCTTCATTCTATCACCTTTGATGTATCATTCCCTTAATTGAGCTATGCAAGCAGTATTATCTTCATACAAGATTGTTGGAACTTCCTTCGTAGTAGATAAATGCATGTCTCTCGAATATGATGAGTCATCTTAACCAAATAAATTCTCGACTTATCTCATGAATTGCTAATATTTCGTATAGTTTGAAGATATGACAGTTATAGTGTGCTTCATAGAACGCTAAGATATAGTTGTATCTCTATATGTAATTATATAACTAGTTGTGATTGAGCTTTGTGTGGATCAAATAAATAACCTATATTTGCATAA